CTCTCTCTCTGTCTCTCCTCCTCTTTCTCTCTCTGTCTCTCCTCCTCTCTTTCTCTCTCTGTCTCTCCTCCTTTCTCGCTCTCTGTCTCTCCTCCTCCTCTCTCTCTCTCTGTCTCTCCTCTCTCTCTGTCTCTTCTTCTCTCTCTCTGTTTCTCTGCCTGTCTGTCTCTCTCCTCTCTCTCTCTCTCTCTCTCTCTCTCCTTCTCTCTCTCTCTCTCCTTCTCTCTCTCTCTCTCTCTCTCCTTCTCTCTCTCTCTCTCCTTCTCTCTCTCTCTCTCTCTCTCTCTCTCTCTCTCTCTCTCTCTCTCTCTCTCTCTCTCTCTCTCTCTCTCTCTCTCTCTCTCTCTCCTCCCTCTCTCTGTCTCTATGTATCCTTCCCTTTCTTTCCAATCCTCTTTCCCTTACTCTAACTCCTCTACACTCTCTCTTCCTCTCTCTTTTCGCCAACTTCCACACTATCTCTTCCCTTTTCGCACGTTCCTCCCCTCCCATCTCTCTTCCCAACTTTATCTATTTTACATCCCGCTCTTTCTTCCCTTTTTCGTTCATCTCTCTACCCCATTAATTTATTATTTTACCCCCATTGTCTTTTCCTTTCCCTCTTCTTTTTCTCAATTCCATCTTTATCTCCTCACATTTCCTTCCTTCCTTTAACTTGCAATCCCCCCCCCCTCTCTCTCTCCTCCCTCTATCCTCTTCCCTTCCTCTCACCTATCCTCTTTTCCCCACATATTTATTCACTTTCTGATCCTTTTACCTTCCTCTTCCCCCTTCTTGCTTGTCTTTCTCTATTCACCTGATCTCTACCCCCACCCCCCTAAGTCCTCTCCCCTCCCCCTCTATGACAGTATATAGTCTCCTCTATCCCCCACCCCCCCCTCTCCTTCCACCTGACTCTATTCCCCATCCTACCCCCCCCCTCCCCCCCCCCCCTCCATGACAACATATAGTCCTCCCTACCCTCACTCCCTCTCCCTTCTCCCCCCCTCCATGACAGGATATAGTCTCCCCCATCCCCTACCCCCCTCTCCCTATACCCCCCTCCCTGACTCTATAGCCTCCCCCCCCCTATCTCCCTCCCCCTCCCCCTCCCCCCCTGACTACGGCTTGACACCTTCCCCTTTGACCTTGTAAGAGCTGCTGGATCAGACGGCCCTTAAGCTATGCTAAGTCGGTGATGGAGAGTGCCAGCTATGTCTGCTTCATTTGTTCAATGGCACTTATTTTTTTTCTGTCCTCTTTTTTTCTTTCTTTCTGTCTTTTTTTTCTGTTTTTTTTTTTTCAATTCTGTCTTTTCTTTCCTCTCTCGCTCTTTTTTCTCTTCTTCTCTCGTTCTATCTCTCTCTCTCTCTCTCTCGCTCCCCCCCCCTCTCTCTCTCTCTCTCTTCGCTCGCTCTCTCTCTCTCTTCCCTCTCTCTCTCTCTCTCTCTCTCTCTCTCTCTCTCTCTCTCTCTCTCTCTCTCTCTCCCCCCCCCCTTCTCTCTCTCTCTCTCTCTTTCTGTTTTGATAAGTTTTTTTTTTTTTTTTTATCTTTCTCTTCTCAGTCTTCTTGCTATTTACGTCGTTTACTAATTGTTCTTGTTTGTTCTTTCCTTCTGCATTACCTATACTTCTTCCTCCTTTCCCTCCCTTTTCCATGTTTCTTTCTCCGTCTTCGTCTCTCCTTCTTCCTTCTCTTCATCAACTTCTTCTTCTTCTTCGTTTCTCCCTCATCATCTTTGCTCCCTCTATTTCCTTCCCTTCCCTTTTTTACAACATCGCTTCCATTCCTATTTTTCTTTCTCCCTCTTTATCCCCTCCTCCTTCTTCTTTCCCTTCCTTCCTTTCCTTCTTTCCTCCCTACCTCCCTTCTCCTCTCTTCCTATTTCCTTCCTTCCTTTCCTTTCCCCCCTTCCTTCTCTTCTCCTCCTATTTCCTTCCTTCCCTTCCCCCCCTTCCTTCTCTTTTCCTATTCCCTCTCTTCCTTTCCTTTCCCTACCTTCCTTCTCTTTTCCTATTCCCTCTCTTCCTTTCCTTTCCCCCTTTCCTTCTCCTCTCTTATTTCCTTCTTTCCCTCTCTTCCTTTCCTTTCCCTACCTCTCTTCTCTCCTTTTTCTCCTTCTTCCTTTCCTTTCCCTACCTCTCTTCTCTCCTTTTTCTCCTTCTTCCTTTCCTTTCCCTACCTCTCTTCTCTCCTCTTTCTCCTTCTTCCTTCCCTTCCTTAATTCCTCCTATTTCCTCTCTTCCTTTCCTTTCCCTACCTCTCTTCTCTCCTCTTTCTCCACCTTCCTTCCTTCCTTCCTCATCTCCTCCTTTCAGGTAATTACGACTAAGTGAGCGTGGATCTCGTACCGTGAGTCTCTCGCCATAAGGTCGAAAGTCGTGTGCCACGCTCATTCGCCACGCCTTCATCATCATTTTAGGCGTGAGAGTTGTAGCCACATGGATTTTTTTTTTAACTGATCATCTACGGTTATTGTTATTTTTTTTCAGAATATTTAACTATTTTTTTTTGTTGTGATTTATCTTTTTTTTTTTTTTTTTTTTTTTTTTTTTTTTTTTTTTACATTGTTATTATTTTGTTGTTGAGTTGTAGCCAGATGGATCTTCTTTAACTAAGCATCTATGGTTATTGTTATTTTTTGTTGTGATTTATGTTTTTTTTTTTTTATTGATTTTATTATTATGTTGTTAATATTTTTTTTCATTGTTATTATTTTGTTGTTTGTTTTGTTTGTTTGATCAAGCGTGTTATGTTGTTAGGATGTACGTTAAGGACATTTTACACACGTATATATAACCATATCATGTCACCTTTCCTCAGTATGCTCTGAATAAAATTGAGGATTATTGCAGTATGAAAAATTAAAGGCAGTCGCTTCTGTATCTTTTTTTTTTATCTTATTTTTTATTGACTTGATTGATCTATTATTATTATTCAATGTCTCCGTTTTATCTTTCTTCCTCTATCTTCCCTCCCCTCTTTCTTTGCTTCCTCTTCTCGCTTTCTCACTTTCACTCCTCTCTCTCTCTCTCTCTCTCTCTCTCTCTCTCTCTCTCTCTCTCTCTCTCTCTCTCTCTCTCTCTCTCTCTCTCTTTCTCTCTCTCTCTCTCTCTCTCTCTCTCTCTCTCTCTGTATATATATATATATATATATATATATATATATATATATATATATATATATATATATATATATATATACATATATATATATATATATATATATATATATATATATATACATATATATATATATATATATATATATATATATATATATATATATATATATATATATATATATATACATATATACATATTTCTTATTTCTCTCCTTGCCCCTCTTCTCTCTCTTCTCGCTTTCTGACTTTCTCTCCTCTCTTCATCTTATCTCCAGCCCTCTCCACTCTATCAATTTCCCCTTTCTCTCCTTCCGCCATCCCTCTCATTCGCTTTTTTCTCGCTTTCTCACCTTATGCTTGTATATTTGTATATATACATGCATTACATATACATACATACTTATGTATGTATTTATTCATACATACCTACATTTTTGCATATGTATGTATGCATGTACGTATATAAGTGTTTGTGGACCGAGAGTGAGGCATGGAGGGAGGGAGGGAGGGAGGGAGGGAGGGAGAGTGAATGAGTGAGTGAGTGAGTGAGTGAGGCAGGGACGGAAAGGGGGAGGGAGGGAGGGAGGGAGGGAGGGAGGGAGGGAGGGAGAGAGAGTGAGAGAGAGCGCAGTTCGTGCATATAGTAAGGACTATATATATACATACAGTAAACACTCTATATTTACTATAAACATACATACATACGTACATACATACATATATATATATATATATATATATATATATATATATATATATATATATATATATATATATATATATATATATATATATATATATATATATATATATATATATATATATATATATATATATATATATTCATGAGCGTGTATGACACGTAAATAGATCCGAATACTTTAGAGAATTACGTACACATATGTTTGAATATTGCATGTCCTTTATGATAAAGAAAATACAACAATATTCCCATACACTTTTTTTCACCTATTTACAGAATTCGTCTTATACGTTTATCTGGTTCTATCTTGTTATCTCATTAAGAACAATGCTAAATAACATCATCACTGAATGATTATAGGACATGCTTCAAACTCCTCATTATAAACAGTATATTATCAACGGCATATAAAAGTGAAGCCGTGTGAGCGAATATAATTTTAATCACCACACAGCATCACAGCCACATCCCTGTTTGCGCATAATCACTGTGTGTTTTAATTAGGGATATCCTTGTACCTAAACAGTGAAGTGAGTCGAAAGATCTGTGAGTATTTTTTTTTTTTTTTTTTTTTTTTTTTTTTTTTTTGTGTGTGTGTGTGTGTGTGTGTTAACTTTTGAGGTGAACGGACTGAACATTTTTGGTGCGCTGAAAGATCGCTCGTTCGGTTTATCATTTTCATTATTTTCCTCTTTATAATAACTATTTATAATATTTAGTTTTTCTTTTAATGGCTGTATATCCTTATTTTTTACTAGCTATTGTCCATATATAATTTAGTATAAGATAAAATATTGCACATATTTTGCCTAAGATTTATAAGATATAGTGATATATTGTTTACTCATTTATCATATAAATCAGATTGTCTATAGTATTCTGTTTTCTAACTGATGTCTATTAGGAATACAACACACATTTCCCCTCCAATCTTAGCAACAAGGAAACGTTCCTTACTCTAATTCAAAAGACAAAACCTACAAACCCATTTCCAAACATAAAAAACACTTTTGGAATACCACAAGAAGTAAACAAGAAATTAACATTCCATTTCGAGTCCATTTTCAACAGAACACGTATAAAAGAAAAAAAAAGAAAGAAAAAAAAAACGTTTCCATGGTTTTCGTTTCCCTCCAAACCAATAAAAGAATGAGAACACACAAGAACATCGTTCATGAAGAAAGAGGACTTACCTTGTCTTCCTCTTCCTTTCGTGAGACGCCAAGTCCTCTTCCAGGCCTCGGCTCGGAGACACTTCCAGAGAGCGGACACGAAGTACAAGAAACGGTTTAGCAACGTTTAAAACATGGCGGTTCCAGAGAGACTAACTCAGGCTTCGACTCGCCATAGCCTCATGTACTAGACGCGTATTCCCACTCTCTCGGAGACTTTCCACTGCGACTCGTCCCGTTCGAGTTTGTTTCGGAGGGATGCGTGTCGCGTCTGGTATACCCTC